AGGTAGCAGACTCATACAACAGAATACAATAGAAAGGAACAGGAATAAACTACTGATCAAGGAACAAGGTAGAAACAGAATACATACTATATGATTTCATTTGCGTGGAATTCTAGGAAAGGCAAAACTTTAGTGACAAGGAGCAAATCAGTTATACAACAATATACACTACTTAAAACTCATCAAATTGTACCCTTAAGAGTTGTGATTTTGTAATAAAGTTGATTTTTTAAAAGACTCCAAAGACATTTTCAAGTAAAAGAAAACCAGTAAAATTTACTGCCAGCAGAACTGCCCTGTAAGAGTTTCTGCAAACTGAAGAGAAATGATGCCAAATGGAAACTTGGATTTTCTGTGGTGACTGAAGATCACCAGAAATGATAAATAATGTTCACACCCCCAAAAAACTATCTTTTTCTCCTAATGTCTTTAAAATACATGACTGAGGCCAGGCGCGGTGGCTCACACCTGTAATCTCAGCACTCTGGGAGGCCAAGGTGGGCAGATCACTTGAGGCCAGGAGTTCAAGATCAACTTGGTCAACGTGGTAAAACCCCATCTCTACTAAAAATACAAAAATTAGCTGGGCATGGTAGCATATGCTTGTAATCCCAGTGACTTGGGAAGCTGAGGCAGGAGAATCGCTTGAACCCGGGAGGCGGAAATTGCAGTGAGCCAAAATTGTGCCACTGCACTCCAGCCTGGATGACAGAGCAAGACTCCACCTCAAAAAGATAAAATAAAAGACTGTTTATAGCAAATATATTAAAATTGCATTGTGATTGACAGCATATGAAGATTCAATACATATGGCAATTATAGCCTGAAGAATGAAGGAGTAGGTAGGTACAAGTACAAGATCCTTCATTTTACATGAAGTTGTACAAGATTACATAGACTGTGAAGAGTTACAAATGTATACTGTCATCTCTAAAGCAGCAGCTAAAAATATAAAGTAAAACTGCAAAGCAGTATAGCTAAGTGGCAATTAAGTTATATTGAATTAAATTAAATTAGAATGTTAAAAAAAAAAAAAGAAGTTCAACTGGCCCAAAAAAGGCAGGAATAGGAACAGAGGAAGAAAAAAAAAAAACAGTAAAAGAGACCTAAATCTAATTGTATCTATAATTACATGAAATAAACATTCCAATTAAAAGGCACAGACTGGGCACGGTGGCTCATGCCTGTAATCCCAGCACTTCGGGAGGCTGAGACAGGAGGATTGCTTGAGCGCACGAGTTGGAGAACAGCCTGGGCGACATAGCAAAACCTCGTCTCTAAAAATAAATAAGGCACAGATTGCCAGAATGGATTAAAAAAAAAAAAGCAAGACCCAACCATATGTTGTCTACAATATAAAGACTTTAAATATAAGACATAGGTCAGTTGAAAGAAAATGAATGAGAAAAGATAGAACATGCACAGAGTAAACATAACAAGACTGGAATGGGTATATAACTATCAGATAAACTATATTTCAAGACAAAGTATTACCAGAAATACAAAGGGATGTTTCATGATAATAAAACAGTCAATTCATCAGGAAGATATAACAAAGATAAATGTGTATGCACCTTATAGTAATAATGCTTCAAAATATGTGAAGCAAAAATTGACAGAATTCAATGGAGAAACTGGCAAATTCCATAGTCCTAGTTGGAATTAACACCCTGCCACAACAGTTGATAAAATAACTAGAAAAAAAAAATCCATAAGGAAATAACAAGATTTGAACATAATAACTAACTTGACCAAACTGATATTAGTACACCACTGCACAACAGAATGCACATGCTTTTAAAGGGCCTATGGGACATTCCCCAACTCACACTACATGCTGGGTCGGGAAAATAACATTTGCAAAGACTGGTATTCTACATCATTTGTTCTTTGACCTGAATGGAATTAAATAAGAAGTCAGTAAGTATATCTAGAACCCTCCCCCCACTAATATTTAGAAATTAAATAGATGATGCACAGAAAGGAACTGCAGCATTCATCAAGTGCAGACAATTGTTTTGATGACTTTCACTGTAAAAGCGAACAGATAGGGTAATGAGGGCAGTTAGAAATCATGACCCTTCTCGGCTGAGCGAGGTGGCTCACGCCTGTAATCCCAGCACTTTGGGAGGCCGAGTCAGGCGTATCACAAGTCAGGAGACTGAGACCATCCTGGCCAACATGGTAAAACCCGTCTCTACTAAAAATACAAAAAAAAAAAAAAAAAAAAAAAAAAAAAAACCGCTCGGCATGGTGGTGCAGAAGAATCGCTTGAACCCAGGAGGCAGAGGTTGTAGTGAGCCGAGATCGCACCACTGCACTCCAGCCTGGGCGACAGAGCAAAGCTCTGTATCAAAAAAAAAAAGAAAAAGAAAAAAAAAGAAAAAAAGAAATCATGACCCTTCTCTTGTCAGAACCCGGCAGCAGATCCCGCTGATCTCAGATAAGATTCGCACACAATCTTGGCACCCTAGGCTTTCCCTAGTAATAGCCTAACCCCTTTTTCCATCTGAGTTTCTATCCTCCATGAACTTCCTTTTCCAGGCAAAAAGGACAACTCCTCATACCCTCAGAGTCAATCAGTTGCACAGTCCAGGTGGGTGCCAAGCACTGTGTCAGTGACCCATGAGGAGCCAGACAAGGCGCCTGTTCCCTCAAAGAACTATCTCAAAACCACTGGGACAGTCGGACAGTTGAGATGTACCATGCAAGCCGTGGAGTCCTCATGTAATAAAGTGCTCTGCAACTAAAAAGGACACTGGAAGTAATTCTGCCAGAGAAAACTCAGGAAAGCTTTGCAGTGGACAAACATCTGTAGTGAGGCATCTTTTGAGATAAATAGGGAAACAACACAGCCTGTATAGGTGATACTAAATAAGTTCCGTTAATTCTGTTGGGTATGATCATTAATGCTGAAGTTGTTTCTCTTTAAATTCCTTATTTATGAAAGATGCATACTGAAGTATTAGGATGGTGCAAAAGTAATCGTGGTTTTTGCCATTTACAGATGAAATGATATGACATCTGAATTTTGTTTTAAAGCACTACATCACAGAAGTGTCATACACAAGTTTTACGTCATTCCACATTCACAGCAGCTCCACGAGGTTAAGTACCTTGCTCAAAGTGACAGCGACAAAGGGAGAGACCTGGATTTGAACTCACACTATGAAGGGTCACTCAAGACAGCAAACCCTGGTATAGACCCCTAGTGAAAGAGACAATTTCCAAAGAGATCCACACTTGGGGTTGCAGATTTGGGGGAAAGAAGACAGGTCAGTCATTTATAAGTGGTGAAGCTGAGTGATGAATCCATGGAACTTCCTAACTACTTCTGGATATCTCTGCAATGTTTTCATACTGAAAAGTTAGAAATAAGAATGTAGGTCTTGGCCGGGCGCGGTGGCTCACGCCTGTAATCCCAGCACTTTGGGAGGCAGAGGCGGATGGATCACGAGGTCAGGAGCTCAAGACCAGCCTAACCAACATGGTGAAATCCCATCTCGGGCCGGGCGCGGTGGCTCACGCCTGTAATCCCAGTACTTTCGGAGGTCCAGCACTTTCGGATCATGAGGTCAGAAGATCGAGACCATCCTAGTCAACATGGTAGTCTACTAAAAATACAAAAATTAGCCAGGTGTGGTAGCACGTGCCTGTAGTCCCAGCTACTCAGGAGGCTGAGGCAGGAGAATCCTTTGAACCCGGGAGGCGGAGTCTGCAGTGAGCCAAGATCACGCGGCGCCACTGCATTCCAGCCTGGGGACAGAGCGACACTCCGTCTCGAAAAGAGAAAGAAAGAAAGAAAGAAAATAAAAGAAAAGGAAAGAAAGAAACCCCATCTCTACTAAAAATACAAAAAAAATTGGCCGGGCTTGGTGGTAGGCGCCTGTAGTCCCAGCTACTTTGAGGCAGAGAATTGCTTGAACCCAGGAGGTGGTGGTTGCAGTGAGCTGAGATCGCGCCACTGCACTCCAGCCTGGGCGACTGAGCAAGACTTCATCTCATAAAAAAAAAAAAATGTACGTCTGGATGCCTTCCACCCAACTTCTTCCCCCACCTCCAGGAATTCAAGGAGTCATTCAACAGCCCCCTGGGGCTTGAGAAAAATGTTCCTTGGCCCTATGGGCACCATTCTACTTGTTGCAACCCATGCTCCCGGAAGGGTCCCAAAGTCCGAGGGAGCCACACAGCTGCAGACGCCGACAATCTGGACACAAGTACGCACCCATGTAACCCACGACCCAGGGATGTCTAACTCCAGCCGAGCCCTTCTCAACTCACCAAGGCGCAGCAGGGCCCCCAGACCCTAAGGCTACTGACCCGAGTCGCATGGCCCTAGGGGTCCCCCCACTATCAAGACCAAGTCCGGATGTCTATCCACAAACAGTCCTCCCCCACAAACCCCAGTCCTTGCGGCCAAGCTGCTCCATCACCATCGCGGTGCACCAGCCAGCCACAGGAGTCCTAATAAACAACCGGACTGAGGTTGGCCGCGCCACTGTACTCCAGCCTGGGCGACAAGAGCGAAACTCTGTCTCAAAAAACAAAACGAAGACCAAACAATTAGCCGGGCGTGGTGGCGGGCGCCTGTAATCCCAGCTGCGGGGGCAGGAGGATTGTTTGAACCGGCGGGTGGGAGAGTGGGGGGCGCGGAGATTGCAGTGAACCGACAATGCGCCATTGCACTCCAGCCTGGGCGACAGAGAGAGACTCCGTCTCAAAAATAAATACATACATACATACATAAAATTTAATAAATAAATAAACAACCCGACTGATGCCCAAGCCGCGTGCCTCCCACTAATGAGGAAGTTTGCTCCAACCAAGGATATCATGTGCCCCAAAGCCACATTTGCTGGCCCTGAGACCTCCAAGGCGCGATGATGGGAGGGAATGGCGCTATGCTGGTGGGACGGAATGGCGCTATGCTGGTGGCAGGATGCTGTCTGGGTACCCCAGGCAGAGCCCACTCAACGGCCCCAGAAGTACCGGGGACGCACCTGCGGAGTAGCGCGGGAAGTCGGTCCCAGGCCTGCACTGGCCCCTCCAGGTCAAGATACTGGGCCCAAAGCCCCGCCAAAAGCACGCGACAACGCCAACGCCCCCTCCCCACCAGAGGACCTCCGCCAAGACCTCTCTCCGGGGTGGACGGCGCACGCCCAGACCCCACAGCCGAAACTCAAACACCAAGGAACATGTGGCCACAGCATGGACTGCCCATGCCAGCTTTCCCGATCTTCCTTCCCGTGGAAGGGCCGCGGAAGCGGGGACCACCTCCGGGCTAGCGCGCAAGAACTATGAAAGGACACTCACCACGCACCGGGCGACGATGGCGGGACGCGGAAGTACGCGAGCTGGACCGCCCCTGGGCACAGAACTACACTACCCAGACTGCCCCCGGGCGCGCAACTACCCTACCGTGGATGCCCTGGAGCGAGGAACTACAACATCCAGAATGCCGCGAGGGGCGGGAACGCCGCATCCCGGAGAAATTGTGAAAAATCAGAAAGTAAAATCTAACTTTCGGGTCCATGAGAAGGGAGGTCAGGTGAGCACTAAGTCTTTCTATTTAACTTTTTATACGATCTTTCTAATTTAATTTTTCTTTAAAAAAAGATGTTACTTGTCCTCCATCCTGCAAATTCACATCTGTGATTTTGCACCCCTGTACTTTATTTACTTACTTCTTTTTTGAGAAGGGGTCTTCTCTGTCGGCCAGTCTGCAGTACAGTGGTGTGATCATAGCTCACTGCAGCCTCAAACTCCTGGCCAACCAATTCTCCCACCTCAACTTTCTGAGTAGCTGGGAATACAGGTGCATAGTACCACAACCGGCTAGTTTTTTGTTTTGTTTTTTTAGAATCTGGGTCTCGCCGCCAGGCGCGGTGGCTCACGCCTGTAATCCCAGCACTTTGGGAGGCCGAGGCGGGCGGATCACCAGAGGTCAGGAGTTCGAGACCAGCCTTGCCAATGTGGTAAAACCCCGTCTCTACTAAAAATACAAAAACTAGCCAGGCGTCGTGATGGGCGCCCGTAGTCTCGGCCACCCAGGAGGCTGAGGCAGGAGAATCGCTTGAACCCGGGAGGTGGAGGTTGCAGTGAGCCGAGATCACGCCACTACTCCACCCTGGGCAACAGAGTGAGATTCCTTCTCAAGAAAAAAAAAAAGAAGAAGAAGAATCTGGGTCTCGCTATGTTGACCAGGCTGGTCTGGAACTCCTGGCCTCAAGCAATTTTCCCACTTCAGGCTCCCAAAGTCCTAGGATTACAGGCGTGAGTCACCGCGTCTGGCTACACCCCTATTTTTTGTCAGTTTAACTTTTTGTACCTTTAATTTTTGTGGGTACATAGTAGGTGGATGTATTTATGGGTTACCTGAGATGTTTTGATACAAACATGCAATACATAATAATCACATCACAGTAAATAGGGTATCCATCACCTCAAGCATTTATCCTTTGTGTTTGGAACAATCCAATTATACTCATCTTTTTAATGTAAAATTAAATTTTTTACTATAGCCTGTTGTGCTAGCAAATACCAGGTGTTATTTATTTTTCTATTTTTTGTACCCATTAATCATCCTCCACCACCCCCTACTACCCTTCCTAGCCTCTGGTAACCATCCTTCTACTTTCTTTTTTTTTTCCTTTTCTTTTTTTTTTTTTTGGGGGGGGGGGACAGGGTCTTGTTCTGTCACACAGGCTGGAGTGCGGTGGTGCAGTCTCGGCTCACTGTAGCCTCGACCTCCCCAGTCTCAAGTGATCCACCCACCTCAGCCTCCTGAGTAACTGACACTACAGGTGTGGCCACCATCCCAGCTAATTTTTTTATTTTTTATAGAGATGGGGTTTTTGCCATGTTGCCCAGGCCCATTTTGAACTCCTGAGCTCAAGGGATCCACCTCTCTCATTCTCCAGAAATGCTGGGATTACAGGTGTGAGCCAGGGCGCCCAGGCCATCTTTCTAATTTCTATGTCCATGAGTTCAGTTGTTTTAATTTTTAGCTCCCACAGATAAGTAAGAACATGTGATGTCTGTCTTTCTGTACCTGGCTTTATTTCACTTAGCATAATGACCTGCAGTTCCATCTGTGTTGTTGCAAATGACAGAATCTCATCTTTTTATGGCCGAATAGTACTCCATTATGCATAAGTACCACACTTTCTTTATCCATTTGTCTGTTGATGGACACTTAGTTTGCTTCCAAATCTTGGCTATTATGAATAGTGCTGCAGTAAACATGGGAGTGCAGATATCTCTTCAATATACTGATTTCCTTTCTTTTGGGTATATACCTAGGATTGGGATTGCTGGATTTTTTTTTTTTTTTTTTTTTTTTTTTTTTTTGAGATGGAGTCTCGCTCTGTCGCCCAGGCTGGAGTGCAGTGGCACAATCTCGGCTCACTGCAACTCCGCCTCCTGGGTTCAAGCAATTCTGCCTCAGCCTCTCGAGTAGCTAGGACTACAGCCATGGACTACCATGCCCAGCTAACTTTTTGTATTTTTAGTAGAGATGAGGTTTCACCATCTTGGTCAGGCTGGTCTCGAACTCCTGGCTTCGTGATCCACCCACCTCGGCCTCCCAAAGTGCTGGGATTACAGGCGTAAGCCACCACGCCCAGCCCTGGATTGCTGGATCTTATGGAAGCTCAAGTTTTAGTTTTTTGAGGAACCGCTGAATTGTTCTCCATAATGGCTATACTAATTTACATTCCCACCAAGAGTACAAAGATTCCCTTTTCTCCAAATCCTTTGCAGCATTTGTCATTACCTGTCTTTTAAATAAAAGCCATTTTAACTGGGTCACGATGATACCTCATTGTAGTTTTGATTTGCATTTCTCTGATGATCAATGATGTTGAGCTCCTTCTCTTATACCTGTTTGTCATTTGTATATCTTTTTTTTTTTTTGAGATAGAGTCTCATTCACTCTGTTGCCCAGGCTGGAGGGCAGTGGCATGATCTTGGCTCATTGCAACCTCTGCCTCCTGGGTTCAAACAATTATCCTGCCTCAGCCTCCTGAGTAGCTAGGACTACAGGCACATGCCACCACGCCCAGCTAATTTTTGTATTTTTAGTAGAGACAGAGTTTCACCATGTTGGTCATGGCTGGTCTTGAACTCCTGGCCTCAAGTGACCCACCTGCCTCAGCCTCCCAAAGTGCTGGGATTGCAGGCGTGAGCCGCGATACCTGGCCACATTTGTATGTCTTTTGAGAAATGTCTATTAAGACCTTTTGCTCATTTTCTAATCAGATTATTAGATTTTTTAATAGAATTGTTTGAGCTAGTTATATCTCGGCTCACTACAACTCCGCCTCCCTGGTTCAAGTGATTCTCCTCCCTCAGCCTCTCGAGTAGCTAGGACTACAGCCATGGGCCACCATGCCCGGCTAATTTTTTATATTTTTAGTAGAGATGGGGTTTCACCATCTTGGTCAGGCTGGTCTCGAATTCCTGACCTCGTGATCCTAGTTATTAATCCCTTGTCAGATGGGTAGTTTCCAAATATTTTCTCCCATTCTGTGGGTTGTCTCTTCACTTTGTTGTTTCCTTTGCTGTGCAGAAGCTTTTTAACTTGATGTGATCCCATTTGTCCATTTCTGCCTTGGTTGCTGGTGCCTGTGGAGCATTTCTTGAGAAGAATTTGCCCACTTTAGTGTCCTGGAGTAGTAGTCCTTCTCTTGGGTTAAATCTGCTTGGTGTTCTATAACCTTCTTGTATTTGGATATTGATATCTTTCTCTACATTTGAGAAGTCTTCGGTTATCCTCCCTTTGAGTAAACTTTTTACCACTATCTCTTTCTCTACCTCCTCTTTAAGGCTGATAAAGCTTAGATTTGACCCTTTGAGGCTATTTTCTAGATCGTGTAGGTGTGCATCATTGTTTTTTATTCTTTTTTCTTTTGTCTCCTCTGATTGTGTATTTTCAAATAGCCTGTCTTGAAGCTCACTAATTCTTTCTTCTGCTTCATCAATTCTGCTGATGCCTTATTTGGTTCATTTGGTGAGGTCATGTTTTCCTGGATGGTTTTAATACTCACGGATGTTCGGCTGTGTCTCGGCATTGAAGAGTTAGGTATTAATTAATTGTAGTCTTTGCGATCTGGGTTTGTTTGTATACATCCTTCTTGGGAAGGCTTTCCAGATATTCAAAAGGACTTGGGTGTTGTGCTCTAAGCTGTATCTTCAATAGAGTGCCCACAAGCCTAATGTTGTGGTTCTTGCAGATCTGTAGAGGTGTCATCTTGATGCTCTTAAACAAGATCTGAAGGAATTCTGTGGATTACCAGGCAGAGACTCTTGTTCTCTTCTTTTACTTTCTCCCAAACAAATGGAGTCTCTCTTTCTCTGTTCTGAGCTACCTGTAGCTGGGGGTGGAGTAACCCTTAGTGTGACCACCACCACTAGGACTGTGCTGGGTCAGTCCTGAAGCCGGCACAGCACTGGGTCTCGCCCAAGGCCTCCTGTAACCACTCCCTGGCTACTGCCTGTGTTCACTCAAGGCCCCGGGACTCTACAATCAGCAGTGGCAAATCCAGCCAGGTCTGTTTCTTTCTCTTCAGGGTGATGAGTTCCTCTAGGCCCTGGGAAGGTCCAGAGATGCTGTTGGGAGCCAGAGACTAGAGTCAAAAACTTTAGAAACCCACCTGTTGTAGTTCTATTGTACTGTGACTGAGGTGGCACTCAAACCACAAGATGCAGTCCTTCCCACTCTTCCCTCCCCTTTCCAAAGTCAGAGGAGCCTCACGCCATGGCTACTGCCACCACAAGCCAATGGGGGAGCACTGTCAGGCTGCCAACAGGGGTCCCTTAAGGCCCAAGGGCTCGTCAGCTTGTGGTGAATGCTACCTGGCCTGGGACTCACCCTTCCTGGAAGTGGGCTCCCTGCTAGCTCAGGGCAGGTCTAGAAAGCCTGTCCAAGAGCCAAGGCCTGGAATCAGTGACCCCAACAGCCCACTTGGTGCTCTCCTCCACTGTGGCAGAGCTGGTACCTAAGGTGCAAGGCAAAGTCCTCTTTACTTTTTCCTCCACTTTTTTTTTTTTTTTTTTTTTTGAGACAGATTCTTGCTCTGTCACCCATGCTGGAGTGCAGTGGCACGATCCCGTTTCATTGCAAGCTCCGCCTCCTGGGTTCACGCCATTCTCCTGCCTCAGCCTCCCAAGTAGCTGGGACTACAGGCTCCCGCCACCAGGCTAATTTTTTGTATTTTTAGTAGAGACGGGGTTTCACCGTGTTAGTCAGGATGGTCTCCTGATCTCCTGACCTTGTGATCCGCCCGCCTCAGCCTCCTGAAGTGCTG